TTAAATATCGATGATTCAGATATAATTTCAATAAATATTTTTTATAGAATATAAGTTCAACTATTAATTTTAATATTTGTCCTTCCAGGATTACCTCGAAGGCAAAGCCGAATTTGTGACCCTTTCCATGGATCGTTCCTTGGGTCTAAATTATGGCACCAAAGCCTGCATCCCTGAATTAAACCAGAAATTTGGACGCAGAATCGATTTGGAGGTACGAGACGCCGGCGCCAATTTATTGGCAACCAGATACAAAGGGCAGACGTGTGCGTCCGATCGGAAGAAAATAGTTACGAGAAATATGTTAATAGGAAAGTTACTTTGGTTATTATTGAAGGACAGGAGAAATTGTAGTGATTGAGTATATATAAGGGTGGTCCTTAATATGGATAAAAAATGAGTGCGCGTAAGGTTCACACGCGATTGAAGTAAAACTTATTTGCTACTGTACAAGATGTAATTTAAGTGAAAATAAATACATCATATAACAATTTTAAATAATGTTTATCAGTAACATTCGTGATGCACACATTTATTAGTGTCAACCATTATACACATTTACATAATATAAATTATAAATTTATTTAAAAACAATAATGTAATTAAAGTCATACTTTAAATATGACATGATCGGTTTGTCATTGTAATTAGCATTTAGAAATGAACCTTTATTAGAGAAATGAAGTAATTGCTGATTAATAAATTCTATAATATTCGTTCACACAGTTGATTGTGTAAAACAACGCCTAAGCAAATATTGTTTTCGCAACTTCACTCATAATGTAATAATTGTGTTTGAAGAACTTCATGTAATTAAAATTAACAGACATTCATTAACTGCTTGTATTTTTTTCATTTTTTTGCTGGCGATATAATTTCATTCTTTTAACAGCTGTAATATCTGTTTTGCCTACAAAATATTTTCCATTTTAATAACTTCAAAGATTTATAGAAACTACGAATAATATAGAAATAATTTCTAATCAATAACTTACGTTTAGTACACAAATGTTTAATTTGTTTTATTATTTTCAAGGAACAGGGTAAAATATTCTTCTGGTTCAGGCATTTTTCATTAAATCAAGATTTGTACTGCGATGTAACTTTAAAACGTTTATTTATCTATGTCGATTTCCTTGTTGATATCGGTACGCATACAACGACAGATCTTTATACGCAACGACTAATCACAATCGACCCGTATAGAAATGATATCGTCGAGGGCGAATGACGTATCATTGGCACTCAACTCTTATCTTATCTGCCGTTACGCACTTCCGTTGCATTTGTACGGATTTACACCCTAGTCGCGCCTAAAGAAGTTTTACTTCAAACAATCTCTGAAAGTTTTCAGTCTTAATATTAACTTTAAGATAGTCCGCACTCCAACCAAAGTTTCTTAAGGAAATAACATAGGTAAAATTCCATTTATTTTTTAGAATTTTATAACTTAGCGACAAGTGAATCAAAATTTTGAGAATAACATTGTATTTGCTTATTTTGATCATAAATAAAAAATTTACAGCACAAATTGATATATTTTATAAAACAAGTATTTACTTAGGAAGAAGAACCAAGAAACTTTGGTTGGAGTGCGGACTATCTTAAGGTTAATATTAGGAGCTAAAACTTTCAAAGATTTTTTTGTATAAATTTGGAAGCACTTGTGAGCAGAGAAATTCGAAAATATCCATATTAAGGACCAATATATATATATATATATATATATATATATTTATATATATATTGATAATTAATATATTATTTAGTCAGAAATCGCTTGTAATTAATTTTCTCAATAATATTTACCATAACTAGATTCTATTACCATTAACCAATTATGTAAAAATTTCGGAGTAATTTCATTTCCGATTTCCATTAATAACATAGATGTTCTAATTATGGCATTATAAAGAGAATTAAGATGTCTAAGAATTTCAAGCAAATTTGGTAAATACACAGATGTCAGCTTCTCAGAATTGTTTTTGATAACGCCCGCGATTTGCAAGGAATCTTTAAGACAGTGCTTGAAATGGATTTTGAAAATAACGGATAAATTTAAGAAATAGAAATTGAATGTCCATTGAAACACAAAACTACTAAACCAGAAATTGTGATCTTGTAGTTTTTAGATAAATAGAGAAAAATTCGAGGTTGTCCATGATGTCAATAGATATCCAATTCTTAGAATCGGAAGAAATTTGCTCACCCTATTTTCAATTGAATAGTAAAAAATGTAACTGCAAAATATCTGATAAATATCTATCTTTAAACTTAATTTTAGGATTCACCGAGATACTGAAATATTAAGAAACTAGTGATGTATGTCATCGTATCTTAAGGCAAATTGCTGCAACTTTCCCTACCAAAAATTAATTTTTACAAAATAGATTCAAATTTTTATTAAAACTTCTAAAAAAATTGATATTTTTGAGCACTTTGAAACAAATAGACTTTTTTGAAAAAATGGATTTTTTTCTATATATTGAAATATTTTAGAATTTCTTTAACTTTTTTTCAAAGCAATTGTGCTGCTTTAGCTGCATAGAGACAAAATGTGACCCGAAAGTGTTCCTGAAATCGTCGACGAAAATTCGTATCCGAACACACGCACACACACATCAATTTTTTCTAAGGTATGCCAAAATGTTCAGAAATGTCTAAAACGTAAATATATGCAAAAAATTTCATTTTCGATTTGTTTGCGATTACTATAACTTTTATAATTTTATAATTTTTTTTTAATAGAGCAGAGGAAAAAAAGGTTGGAAACTACTGCCTTAATGTATAAATTGAAATTTGGTCATCTGCTCAGCTTATTTTTCAAAAATGTTGTACTTTAAATAAATGCCCAAGAACTATCATCTAACTACGACTTTTTCTGTTGCAATATGCAAAATATCTCTTTACATTTCTTATGGAAAAATCAAAATATCCACGATTTTAATATTAATACTGCAGCAAACAAATCATCCCATAAAGTTCATAATTAGAGGTTTAAGGGAAAAGATTTTGTTCAGAAGAAATATTCTATACCGCTCTCTTAATGTATCAAATATTAAAAATGAAATTATCTAACACCTTATTTCTAGAAATTAAATCAGTTTTTCAGGCTGTTTTTATATAAATTGGTGGCAGCGATGTGATCGATCATGTAAAAAGTGTAAAAAAAGAATTTTTTAGAACCGATATTCTTTACCGAACTTTTAATGTATCAACTATTAAAATTGCGATTATCTAACACCTTGTTAGTAGCGATTATATCAGTTTTTCAAGCTGTTTCTTCAAAAATTGGTGGCAGCGATGTGATCGATGATGTTGCCCGTATTGCTTGGCATATTTTTTTCACCTATTTTTGGCAACTTGTTTTTCTTGTGGCATTAAAACACTTAAATTATTTCTTAAATTATCAATTGGTTCTAAAGAAGCT